AATTGCTGCATTGCTTTTTGTGGTGTGCCGCTTGAATTGGCTTGGGTAACAGAAGAATTGAGCATGGAGACATTGGGATATTTTTGGTAAGCATAAGCTAGTATGGCTGATTTCTGTACCAAGGAAATAAACTAAAACTGTAACCAAAACTAGAACTAGTGTTGCAGTAAGTGGCTAGAATAAAAAGAGGCAATATAGCTTTATCAGAGGGAAGTTGTACTTCAAAAACCTATTAGAGTCCTTTATGATGAGTATATGAAAGCAAACAAGGAGCTGGGAGGGGTGCAGTTTGGTTTTCAAAACACTTTTGGCCAGGCCCCTCAGTAAAGGCTCATAAAAAATTAAGTTTCTGATGAACCAAGAGACAAAATCTGTGGCTTAGTAACTGTTTAAAAGCTGCGCAGCAGTGGATAAAAATACAACTGTATTCACAACAAATATTTGTTACAATTTCACCATTATTGGTCTTTTATTACTAAGTGATGCTGAAAAGGTGAAGAATATAATACAGTGATGAGGCTTACTGATTACAGTAAGTTCTTTGGGATACTAAAATCAAAAGCCAGCTGTAAAGTGTTGCAGAAGGACACTACAAATTGCCGAATAAGAAAAAAGCTAGCAAAATTAAGTTAGCTTAAACAAATCCTAACTTTTCCACACAGGCTAATGTTTTCTGAATATCACTACCATTCAAGAAAGAGGCTATGGAATCCTTTTGGCCAGTTTGATTAAAATAGTCACAGTTCAAAGGTAAACCACAAGGAAGGAAAGTGAGATTACACAGGAAAACATTGGTATAGCACTCTACTTTTCTGTATCTTGTATTTTTCTAGGTTACAAGGAGGAGCAAGAGGAGTGATCAAAGTTGTGAAACCTTTCCATCTGAGGAAATAGTAAATGAAAAGTAAACAGACCAAGATGTTTCTATTTGGAGAAAGGGTATGTAAGGGGATACTATGGAAGAAATATATAAAACGGTGAGTGGTATTAGGGCATAGAGGGAAAAATCATGTACAGTTTCTCACAATAAGAGAACTGAATGGAAGTCTGTAAAATTCTTGTTTTGACGGAGAGGCACCGGACATACACACAGATCTATAAGATCACAAATATGTCCGCTTTATTGCAATCGTCCAGGGTTTTTATAACATCTCTACTCAGGGTCCCGTGACACGAAGCATACAATTGGACACCGGCTACCATCTAGTTGAAAACATTCATTACAAATTCCTTTATAATTGGACATTAAT